TTCTTGGATTACTACTATCTGGAATCAGAGTTCAAATAGAAGGATGTAATTATTTATTATGGCCAAGAGTTCTGCATTTGAAGAGGAGCTCAGGGGCGTCTGAAAGGATTTAATATGCTGGGGGTGGGGTGGGCTGGGGGATAAAGTCCATTTAAATTCTCTGGCTCTGGGAATGTCCTTTCTGAAAAAGCAGAGCTGCTGTAACTATTCAATGTTCTATTTCCAGCCGAAGGCACAGCCATGTCATAAACAGAACCAGGCCTGACCCAGCCTTCTCAAGCAAGGAACTTCGAATTTTCAATTAGTCAACTGATCACTCCCACACTAGAAGTAAACACCCTGACAGTCCACCCAGCTGCCTAACACCCACCCCATGGGCAGATCTGCACCTGGCCTGTGCTGCCGCAATCCCGAAAGACTGAATAGCAGCCCCTCACTGAAAGGGACTGTGGATTATCCTGCATAAGTGGTTATCAAACCTGGCCGCACACTTGAATCAACTGGGGAGCTTTTAAAAAATTCTGGTGTCCACCCCTCTGCCCCGAGATTGAGACTCAGTTTGGCCCAGTGTGGAGTCAAGGCATCTGTAGTTTTTAAAGCTCCCCAGGTTATTCAAAAGCAAAAATAAGTTTGAGAACCACTGATATAGCCCAAAAGTTAAGAGTGAGGGGTTTGGGGTCAGGAGGATTTAGGTTCAGGATAAACACTGTCATTTGCTACCCGCATGGCCTTGGACAAGCCACTCTCCCCTGAGCCTTCATTCTTGCTGTACAGTGGTGGGCATTGAACCAGGTAACGAATGTCAAACACCTGCCATGGTAAGGGCCCAATCTGCGCTGCAGTAATGACTATCAAGGTCTGCATTTGGGGACAGGCTAGAAATAATGCCTAAAGTTAGGCTCATCCTTTACACCCAAATACACTGACAGTGGCATTCAGGGGTTCAGCACTGAGTGGTGCTTTGTGCCCAACTTTGTGGGATCCCTGTTCTATGGTACAACCAGATTCTATTATTTGCTTCAGCAAAAAGCCCTTAGGGACTGCTACTGAAAGTGAAAAGTCCATTCTTTTTCATGAATATGGTTCTGGAAATCAGGCTCTAGCAAAACAGTCACAGCTTCATTCATAGAGCAGTTACACACTCCATTTCATTAATCCTATTATTATCAGCCCCAAAATGCATGCCTAGCTCCCATCTCCAGGGGAGGGAGGCTCCCCAGACCAAATGGCCTGCCAGGGGGATGCTGAGCGAGCAATTCTCTGAGCCCCCCAGCCCTCCCTAGAGCTGGAAGCACAAATCCCCACGGTCAGGCCTGAGGGGAACCACATAATGCCCGGAAATAAAGCGGCCACTGAAGCTGGAAAGCCAGCCGGGGGCTTCCCTCAGACCCTTTCTCCTGCTTGGGCGGTCTCTTTTTCTAGGGGTGGTAGAAAGAGGGCGGGTTGTGATTAAAGGGGGATCTGAGATTGACACAACTTATCTTTAACTCAAACAAAACAAGAAGCACCCACGTTGATACCTGATAGGCTCCTGGAGGGATGGACAGATGGGAAGGCAAGAGGGACAGGCTAGAACAGCCTGCCCTCCCCTCATCTTTGGGGTCTCCTTCCCCCTCAGGACTGCCCTGGATGCTTAACGACCTGCTCACCTGCTGCCGTAATATGGAGTGCAGGATTGGCCTAACTTTGACATTATCTTCTTCAGACAAACCAAGGTCATTTGAGGGTCTGCAGACTATGGATTTAGACAGCTTTAGGGGAGTGGGGCATGGTAGGTGGGGGAGTGCTGTCATTATCCTCCTTAAAAAACCCAAGAAGGTGTCTTGTTGCAGTGTGGGTACTATGCACAACCCCACCAGAGGCAGAATTTTAATGGGCTGCAGAAACCATATTCCTTCCTGCTGTCCTTAATTTTGTTTCTGTGCAGCTGGTAACAGCGGTGGGATCCCAGTCCAGAGGTGGATGATGCACTTTCAATGCTAAATAATATAATTCTTGGAGGTGGAAGTGGAGGGAGAGAGGAAGAAGTGGAGGACCTACATTCATGGGGCACCTTTTACAAAACAGACACCTGAGTATGCACCTGACATAAACATTATTTCTAATTCTCTCCAAAGTTCATGTGAGAAGTCAGATAACTTTTCCATAGTCATAGCTAATAGTGCCTGCGCTGGGATGTAAACCCAAGTGAGTCTGACTATCCAAGTTTATTTAGTTGAGTCATTTTATACCCAACAAACTAGTACATGTTAAAAACTCTGACAATGTCTATCACTGGTGAGCAAGTAAGAGGCAATGAAGAAATGTGTTAGAGGGTCTCCAAGTATGGCCACCAGCAACTTCTCTCATCCCTGTGAGCCCCTGCCATTTATCACACTAAGGAGTAGAATATATTTTCTTCACCTTGAACTTGAGCTGGCCCTTGTCTTGTTGTGACCACTAGGAACATGGCAGAAGCAACATTCTGATAGCTCTGAGTCCAGGCCTTTAGAGGACTGGTGGCTTCTGCTTCCTCCCTCTGGGAAGACAGCTGTCATGCTGTAAAAACATCTCAGATTAGACAACTAAGTGGGGAAAGTCCAGGTGGAGAGAGGATCCACATGGAGGCACACTGAAGCACCAGGGTTGTGACTAAAGCCTTTTTGAACCTCCCGGCCCAGCCCAGCTTCTAGATGAATGTAAGTGACTCCAGCCAATGTTAAATCACAGCAACATGAAAGATAACAAACCACTGTTTGAAGTCACTAAGTTTGGGGGTAGTTTTTATGCAAGAGTAAATCACTTAAATCAGGAAGGAAAAAAATGATTTGGCATCTACGTCACTGCAGTGTAATATGGCAAACCCCCTCTGGTTTCATTCCCACACCCTAGGCTCCATTTTTACCAGTAAGTGCTGGTCATCTGTGGCGAAATGAAGTGCCACTGAGTTACCAGATCTCTGGGGAGCCTGACATAAGTCAAAATACCTTTGAATAAGCAAAGTGATAAATACAGATTTTAAAGGGAGTCTTGCACATGGCCCCAGAAACAAACTGTATGACTGAGAAACAAATGCACATTTGTCAAATGCTGGTGGTGGGGAGTGGGAGCTAAAGAACCTACCTCTTTCTAAAAGAGGTCAAAGGGATAAGAGAAGGTTCAGAAACCCAGTAAAAAAAAATTAGGAAAAGAGAGGAAGAGGTGAGTCACAGAAGCGCACAACCAAACCACTGGCAAAGGTAGAAAAAGATGTTCAAAGTTACCAGCAGTCAGAGAAACACAAATCAAGTAATAATAAGCTACTGTTTACCATATTAAAAATACTAATAATACTTCGTGCTAGAAAGGATATGAGAGGGTTGCATTTGTAAGTTGCTATGGAAATGTGAATAGTTACACCTTTTGAAATGTATTCTAGCTATATTTATTAAAAACAGTAAGTACGTAAGGGTCTCCTATGTTCAGGAATTTTATTGCAGCCATTGTTCATGATGGCAAAAACTTAAAGTGAATATTAATTGATAAAGGAAGGATTGAATAAATTATGGTCCATTCATACCAGGAATATTTTGCAACTATTCAAAAGAATAACGTTATAACAAATGTCCTAGAGGGGTTTCTCATAAAGTATTGGTGAATAAGAAAAGCATGATATGTAAAAAAACATGTATCAAATACAATCCCATTTTTAAAAATCCCATTTTTTATAGTTATATATATGTTAATATGTGTTTATATATGTATATTGTATATCTCTACATAAATGTATATGTGAATATATGTGCATAGAGAAAAATGTGGAGGCATGCATACGAAATCATTAGTATGCATTACCTGGGAAAGGAGGGAGGGGTGATATGTAGAAAAAAGAAGTGAAGGAAGTAACCAAATTACAACATAAAAAATATGTGATTGCATCATTGCATTTATGCATTCATGTGAATTATATATATACGCATTGTGTGAAATTATGCATATGCATGTGTATGTGCAAAATATAAAACAACATTAAAGCAAACACATAAAATAAAGCAAATAATGATTTCTATTTCATCTCTACACAGTCATGCCTGAAACACAAGATTCTGGTATCTACAAATTATTCCTTTTGCTCTGCGTTATTTTTATGTAGAAGAAACGCCATTGCCGGCAGTGGGGCCCGATTCCTGCAGAATGCAGGTGGGACAGAAGCTTAGTAGCCTCTCTCCTCCAGCACAGCTTCTGAAGAGGAAAAGCATCTCCAAAAGCGAGATGCTTCCAGTGAGACGCCTCCCCATAATATCCAGGCTAGAATCTCTTGGAACTGGGAGAGCATGAGCATGGCTGAGTGTTGCTGTGCAGATAGGAGGTGGTGGTACTTCCAGGCAGGCAGGTGCTAACAGGTGGCCGTGCCCAATGACAGCTACCTGCCCCCTCTCCCAACAGCCCAAGGAATCTCTAGCCTATGCCCTCCTTCCCAGGCCCCACCCCAGCTTTATTTTCCTTCCTCGCCTCTCCTGCCTACTTGTTCTGTCAGGCCCCTAGTTCCCCAAGCTTCATCTGCCCTCCTCTTAGCCCTTGGGGATTTCAACTCACAAGCCAAGTGCTAGAGAGAAAAGTCAAGTACATACTGTAGAGTTTAACTGAAAAGCATACAGTCCCTGAGCAACCAAATGCCACCCTTCTATCCCTTTCTTTGGCAGCCAGCCCACCCCAGTCAATGAAAGGACACACTCCCTTATGCCCACAGACTTCAGTGCTTCTCAGTCCACTAAGATTAAAGGTATAATAGCAGGTCCCAAAGCCAGGGTGTGGGAGAGGAGTAAGTAAGGAATGACTGCTTAATGGGTGGGGCGGAGGCGGGGGGTCTCCTCTGGAGGTGATGAAAATGTTCTGGAACTAGTTAGATGATGGCTGCACAACACTGTGAATGTACGTAATGCCGCTAAATTGCACACAATAAAATGGTAAATTTTACATTATGTGAAATTTACCACAGTTTAAAAAAAAGCACCCGAAGGCCTGGTGGGGCCTCACATTACCCTTTTTAGCTTCCTCACTGCTGGCATTCACGGCTGTAGCATTCAGCCAGCTCTCCAATGACTGCTCTCCAAGCCCACCTGAAGAAAGGAAGAAGAAAAGAAACGTGAGGACCCATCTGCCTTCTTTGCACCAGCACCGACAGATGAGGGAGCCAATCTGGTCACCGGGGGGATGATCAGAATCCCCAGTGGGTCAGTAGAGATTTGTTCATTGGGCACCTACCATACACAGGGCCCTGTTCTAGACACTGGGGCAAAAAAGAACCTGCTTTTTTATAAACATGCAGATAATTCACAAATTATACAAGTATTACTCTCCTTAGTCAGTTCAAGGACACTTGGAGTCAAATATACAAAGTCAGCTTCCTCACCCACACCTCCATAAGAAAGCCCAAATGCAAACAGGACACTTTCTCTGCTGCCGTTCTGGAGTCCCCCTGCTGTGGAATGCAGAGAGGTGTCATCCATGCTGCTTCTAAACGCATGATGTCGTCGCTTACTGCTGTACTGGCGTTCTGGTTTCTTCTTTGAGGTGACTCTCCTTTTAGAAATTGCTCTATTTACTTTGTAAATAAGACTCTGCAGACACAGCCTCAGTCAAGGCCAGTGATGCATATATTCATTTGCCATGATTTATAAGCCAGCTTTACATCTGTCCCCACCAAGAATATGGTCGATCATCAACTATTATTAGACCCCAGGTACATTTCCAGCACTGGGGATCTAGCAGTGAACAAGACAGATAGGTGCGTACATTCTAAATGGGTGGCTGCACAACAAACAGCAGGTAAGAAAATAAAGAAATAAGATCATTACAGGTTCAGGTTATGTGCTTTACTCCAGGAAGAAAACCATATCAAATTCAGTATGTGGTACAGCGTGATTGGAGCAGCTGCTTAGTAGGTGATCGGAGAAGGCCCTTCCAGAGAGGTGATACGCAGGCTGACACTTGAAAGATCCTAAGGAGTCGACCACATGGAGATCTGGGCCAGTGAATCCCCAGCAGGAGGCAGGATGGGAAAAGAACGTGGATCAGGAATGGGCTTGTCCTGTGGCGGGGCTGACCACGGTGACCACGGGGGATGAGGGCAGAGAGGGAGGCCAGAACCACAGGGTTTAAAGCAAAAGAGGGACAGAGGGACATGTTTTTATTTGTTTTACCAAGATCCCTCTGGCAAGAAAAAGAGAAAGCCTTGTGATGGTCCAGGCAATAGACAGTAGTGGGGTAGGCTGAACAGTGCAATGGAGATGTTGGAGACCTGTCATATTAGGAATATAGCTGGAGGCAGAGCAACAAGAGAGGCTGATGGGTAAGGTAGGAGGAACCAAGAGGGGCCACCAATGACTCCTACATGTGAGGTATGAGCAACTGGGTGGATAGTGACACCAGGAAACAGATTTGAGGACAAAGTCTGTGTCCATGAGAGACTATTATACATATGAATCCACATTGAAGCAACTACAGGACAATCGATTCCCTAATGCAAAATTATTTCTTGCTTTTGTTTAGAAATTTGCAGCTTACAAAACTGTTTCCCCATATCTGCTTTGACCCTGATTAGAACACTCTGTGGCAGATGGAGTGTCACCCCATTTTACAGAGGAGAAAACTGAGAACAAAATAATCAACCCAGGGTTCCCCAGTCCACAAAAAAAGCTGAGGGTTCAGGACAGTCTCCTGGTCAGAGCCCGATGATTGTTCCTGTGCCCCATAGCTAGGAAGGGTCCCAAACACAGAACCCCATGCCCTGGCCCCAGACAACCAGCGGATCCGGCCCTGTGGTCCCGCATCCCAACTCCTGACATGCCGACTACCTCTTCTTCCCCTCTTTGACTCTGACATTGGCGGTGGACCAGACGCATGCTGACATTTTTGTATGCCTTCATCCTGCTTGTTCTGATGTCTTTCTAGCCAGCTCGGAATCCACTCACACACTCCCTGCAGCTGCCGGGGCCTTCGCTGCCAGCTCCCAGCCCTCTGGGTATTCTTCCAGTTGCGATATCATTTCCTCTCAAGCTAAAGGTCAGGGGAAATCCTGATGGTATGAAAATTGCTGGCCAGCAGAGGAATGTGCCATGTATGGAGTGAAGGAGAGCCTGAGGCTGAGACTCTGGAACTAGCTTAGTCTTTTCTCCTCTGTGTAACTGTGGATAAGATCTTGGGCATTAGATTTTTCATCTGTCAAATGGGCTCTTGTGAGGAACAAATGAGGTCATGGGTTTGTTCAGGAATTTGTTCATTCAACAAATATTTATCCAGCACCTGCTACATGCCAGATGCTGTTTCTGCTGCTCAGGATATGACACTGAACAAACTCTACCCTGACATCATGGAAACTACTTTCTGATGAACAATAGGGGAGAAGACGATAAACAAATAGGCAATTAAGTATCCAAGTCAGTTGTTAAGAAGCACTACAGAGAAAATAAATGAAGAGATCAGTGGATGCCAGGCATAAGGGTTTGCGGCTTCATGTGAGGTAGAAAAGCAGAAGCCTAAAGAAAGTCAGGGGGACACTTTGCAGCTATCTGGGGAAGAGCATTCCAAACTGAGGGAACAGCAGGTGCAAAGGCCCTGGAATGGGAGTGTATTTGGCAGGAGGGAGGCGGATATGACTGGAATGGAATGAGCGAGGGGGAGAGTAGTAGACGATGAAGTCAGCGGGCAGTGGAGGATCTGGAGAATCAGCTCATGTGGGGCCTTGCAGGCCATTTTCAGGATTTAGGCTTTTATTCTGAGAGATCTAGATGGGAGCCAGAGGACACGAAAGAGCTTCATAATTGCACCAGCTTTGAATATGACTAGAGTTAACAGTAGTGGACAGGAGGGGGACAGAGGAGCTGGAATGTGAAAGGACATTCCATGTAGCACTCCCAGCATAAAGGGTTGGTAAGTTTAGACCTGCTTGGCTCCTGCACAAGGGGTGGGGGAGCAAAAGCAACGGACCTGTACGGATTCCTAGAGGCGGACTGGTCCCAGGTTAGCTGAAGGCTGTGGCTGAGGAGCAAAGGCCAAGGGAGACTTGTATTTAGCCCTGAAGCAGCAGAGGAGGGGAGGACTGAGGACTTCTGATTCCCTTTGCCTCCTGGTGTTTGGGGTTATAATAGCTGATGCATAACAAAAGTTGGGGGATACTGGGTACCTCCCAGTAGGTGAAGCAGGAAACCATCAGTGTTCACTAAGTACCAATTACAATACTGACCTTGTGTTAAGAACAATGCTAAATGCTTTTTTGGCTTTGAGTTTTGAAATTCTAGCCTTATAAAGACCCAATGACAAAAGGGCCATAAACACCCCCATTTTATAGATGAAACAAGGCTCCAAGGGATAAAGTGACTTGCCTGTCTTGAGAGTACAGAGATGGTCAGCAGTGGTGACAACTGGAGGTGGGTCCTGTCTGACTCCCAAATCTGATTTCCTTCCTCTCAGCCTCAGACCCAGAAAGAACAAGTAGAACAAGTGGGGTGTCTGGGAGAGGCCGGTTATTCCCAAAGGACTCAGGATGTTTTCCAGGTCTGTGGAGGACATCTGAAGTCAGTGATGAGGTTGGGGCCATGGACAGTTAATAACACAGATCCCTCCTGTCATCTTTACCAACAAGAGACTGAAGGCTCTGTCTTTTTTATTGACTTCTTGAATTCCAAGCTCCAGCTCATTCCTTAGATTTGGGAAATTCTTGTCAACTATTTGTCTGAAAATGCTTTCTAATACTTGCTCCTTTTCCTCCCCTTAGAGAATTCCTATTATTCTTAAGTTTCTTCTCCTGATAGTATCAGCTAGGTCTTGTATTTCTCATTCATTATTTTTCATTCTTCGTTTTTTCTCTTCTTCCTTCTGCTTTATTTCTAGATTTCTGTCTTCGATATCACTGATCTTTCCCTCCATTTAGTCGACTCTATTTCCCAAGCTTGTTATTTCATTTTTCAACTCTTGCAGTGTGTTCTTTATCTCCAGAGGTCTATTCGGTTCTTTTTGAGGGTTTCAATCTCCTTGCTAAAGAATTCATTCTGCTCACCTAGTTGTTTTTTCAGTTCCTGAAATTGTTGATATTATTTGTGTCAGATCTCATTGATTTTTTTCCAGAAGTACTAACCTGAATTCTCTGTCATTTAAGTCACATATTTCTATGTCCGTAAGCTTATTTTCTGTAGATTTTTCTATTTCTTTTTGAGATGCCTTGTCACCTTAGTTGTTCACGGTGTTTAATGGACCATTTCTCCACCTGGCCATTAATAGAAGTGTATTCTGATTTTCTTTTTTCCAGAAAGCAGATTTATTATATAATGGTCCCTAGCTTGTTGCAAAGAAGGAGTTCTACTTTTGGTTTCCAGTAGGTGGCATCTAAGCCTCTTGGATCTCTGCTTTAAATAAAGTCTTAAGAATGTCTTTTTTTCCTTATAGATGTTTAATCATGCTCGCTACCCTCAGTCTCAGTTCCTATCAGTGTTAGCAACAGTTTCGGTAGCGTTTGCTCAGTTTCCTCAGGGGCTCCGCGGCGTTCTGTCTCAGAGGGTATGAGGGGAGGGGCCCTCTGGGTTGAGAGATGGGGGGGCTGCGGCTCAGCCTTGGTTTTGCAACCGCGGCTGGTAAAAATCAACTGTTGTTTTTTTGCCATCTTGCTTCTCTGCCTTCTGCCCTGATGACTGAGGCCTGCCACTGGCTGCATGGAGCTCACAGTACTCCCAGGCAGGGTTATTCAGGGAAGTCACCGCACCTTCTCCCCTCCCCACATCCCCTACAGGGAGCTCCAGTAGCTGCAAGAAGCAGCTTCTTTGTTTCTCCCCATCCACCTCCCGACACCCAGGGTTCTGACCTGTAGTAGCTCTTATGCGCAGATCCCACACCCAGATGTGCTGGTGTGCAGTTTGGGTGTTTTTTGTTGAGTTTTAGATGTTCAGCTTATTGTTGTTTCAAGAGGAGAGATCCAGAGATGTCTCTCACTCCGCCATGTTTCTGACATCACTTCCTGTCCTTTTTCTTAGGAGTGCTTTCTCAGAAGCTCAGAATTCATGCTAACAGCACAGCTGAGCCTGGGATCTACCTGGAGTTAATGTGTGGCCACACCCCTGATGAAAAC